CAAAAATGTGTATACTAAATATGCAGTAAAGTAATTTCAATGTAAGTTAATAATTAAGAAAAAGTCTTGGGGAAATAAGAGACATTCACATTACATTTAGTAAAAAGAATATTATAGGGAAAAATTCTAGTTTTGGATAAGACATATCCAGTTGAGTACCTGACCTAAATAGAGGTACTGGCCTGCACAATAGTTTCATGAACATGGCTTATTTCTTTGATCCAGTTAATTCTAGTTGTATGAACACAGGATTGAGAAGTAGAGATGTTTGATATAAGTTTGTGCTTTCTTATATGAAAAATGAAAATAATGTCAACCTTTATAGAGTTATATAAAAGTAAAATGAGTTCACATGAATAAAATCACATAGTATGAATAAAATACTGTACATTATATCTACCTATTAATATTTTGAATGGTTTCTATTTCTATCTTCTCTCCACAAATGAACAGGAGAACCCAGGCTCAAAGATTTAAGGCTCAGATAGCAATGGGTAAACAACCATTATGAAGTTTTACTGGTAGCAACTAACTGGCTCTAGTCCTTAGTGATATGAAGAACCCACCTCCTTATTCCTAAATGATGTGGCTCAGAGTCTGATGATGTCAGAGTTATGGCAACATCTGAAGGCTTGAAATAAAAGTGACATAATCACAGAGAACATATAATCCCCCAGTCTCTATACACACAAAGAGCACTGCTTTTAGGGAAATTTTTAGGAAATATTTTAAGAACAAATCATTGTGATAATTAAAAACATTATTGAATGTGTTTTATGGAAAATATGTAAATTATTTCCATTTCATCATCACCCTTAGGGAACATAGTTAGATGTATGTGTTTTAATTTCCACTGTATAGTACATATTTTAATTGCTACCTTGGTGCTACTTAACTAGCAACATATCCCTAAAGTAGATTTTTTTCCCAACTGTCCATTACACCAAGTAAATTTAAAGAAAACAAAAAAGGATTTTCATGAATTTTGCATTGCACTGGCACTGGTATGAACCAGTTGCTTAGAACAATATTTTCTGTATTGACATGCAAATGAACTCATTAGCCAGTCACTTTGTTTTAGAGATTTACATCATTTGATAGCAAAAGCCACATTAAAGTAATATTAATTACTTCATTTTAAAACAAGTAATTTCAGAGTTAAATCATTCTTTACACATTTCACCACTTCTAGCATGAAAACATGGATACACAGGAATAAAAATACTGTATGTGCAAAGCTATTCAGGCTCTGTTCCTCAGAAATGAATAGCTTCTTGCCAGAATTTGTGTAAGGAAGTACTAAAGCTATTTCTTTTATAAGCATTTCATTCATGGGAAGTAATTTTCAAATCCTTTATTAGAATTCATGTTTCCTCAGAAATGATGTAGTGCTTTAAACTATTATGCACACACCTATTTTGTTTTCTTATTCATTGCAAATTTTCGTTTTTGATATCCTCTCCCTTAGCAATCAGCGTGAGAGTTTCTGAATGGCATTTTCATGCCAGAAAACTGGTATGTGCTCAAACATGCTAGCCTAAATAAAAAATAATAACTGGGAGACACATTTGCCTCTCAAATTTATATATTAGAACTTGCTATGAAAATTATCTTTGTGTTAAACAGCTGTCATGAACTGGCATGTCTAAATTATTCTTTGTATATTTATTATAGAGTAAAATATGCCATACTGTATGGACACACACAGAGTTCCCCTCTTATTGTACCAAAGCACTTACAATATTATTTAATTTCAGACAATTCACATTAAGGCTCGATGGTGCCCTAGTTTTTCAAACATTATCATATCCACTATAATAACATTAATTCTTCAATACTAAGATGATTTAAAGCACAAAGGGCCCAATTACTTGGCTGCATGGTTACCAATTTAATTGGAGAACCAGGATTTATCCACAGGGACCCTACAGTTCACGTTAGTAGATCCTATCCCAAGAGAGGTTGCTTAAGTAGAAGCAGATTAGGCCTATATGGAAACAATAATTGGTTACCTGGCAGTTTAAATGATACCAACAGGTGTTTTTCCTGTGTTTTAGTTTACATGAGTCTTCTGACCTTTATAATTCATTATGTAACAAAAAAAAAGTAGAGGTAGTATAAAAATTTGGGGCACATATGAAGTACTAATAGAATTTATCATGTAAGGTCTTTCAGTCAGGTTTATAATAATTCTTAACGATAAAAGTGGCCATTACTCAAAGAAATTTCCAAACAAACTATTACTCAAATTCTACTTCTGGTTTGTTATTTTTTGCTGTACTTGTCCATTACTTATATTAGTAAATAGAAAAGCAAAAAGAAAGGAATGCATAGCCATGATAACCAAAAACTCAAATAGATTCATCTTTATCTTAAATCACAGAAACACACACAAGACAAAAGAAATTTCACTTGGATTTACCTTTATACTCATCGATCTACCTTAACAAATTGAGAAACAAACAAAAACAATAATTTGAGCACATCATATGGTATATAACTAATTTTTTCAATAATTTTCTATAAAGTTTGTCAAAACTCACCTTTGTGAAACAAAAAGAGCTAAATTTGCAGAGATAAGGCAATGTTTTATCAAGCTACCCAACAGTGGTATAGAATATTTACTGTCCTTTTACATAAATAAGTTGTAATTCCAAAATAAAGTTATTTCTTCATGGAGGAATGAATAAATTACCATATTTAATGCCGTTCATAAGGTGTCTTCAATGTTGGGGTTTTCTTTCTTTATAATGGGAATTGTATCTGTACCCACCAATATTTCCCAACATGATATATTTACACTTGTTATCAAAACACAAGTTTACACTCAATTCAGAACTTAGTAAAACTAAATGTACAGAAAAAAGGAAAAATGATCCTACTACTTAAATATTTAGTCTCATCAAAGCAACAGATAGCATTATTGTCAATAATATTTGATTGTAGTGCTTAACCCTCTCCTATGTGAAACTCAATTTCATCAGAATTAACCCCAGAAACTACTAGCATAAGGCAATTAGTCATAGTTGAATAACAGTATACATCTTGGAAAACTTACAGCAAACAAAAGTTAATGAGATACTCAAATACATTTAAATGAGTATAAAGTTTGTTTATATTACTGCCTTTCAAGCAAATTATGTCATATATATATATATATAGCTGCTTCAAAATAAGTAATATTCAAAAAAAACCAAAATTCTGGATGAAATTTTAATCCAAATATTTAGTCCAATATAATTAAAGTTTTCAAAAGGAAAGTTAGAAACGAATAGCCATTAAAAATGTATTCTATATTCATTTCTAGGAGATTTATAGTATAAAATTCCTGGCTGTGCTTTCATGTATCTTATTTTGTTTTTCAGTCTCTACTTGCTCAACTTTTAGAATTTGTCTCAATACTCAAACATTACATTGTGTGATGGACATGAATCCTATGAAGAATACTGTTCAAGGTAACACGGAAACAATGTAATGGAACTGCATATGACCGTTAGAGTTTGCAGTAATATCCACCTATAGCAATTCTTGTCATGCAGGACTATGTTGCAAATAAAATGAAAAATCTTGACCCAGAGTAATTATTTCAAATTGTAAACACTAAAGCTAAATTTCACCGTTGAAACTCTAATGCAACTGAAGTAGAAATGTTCTTATTTTAAATGTAAAAGTATTTAAATTTAGTGTACTCTCCAGCGGTTGGGAATCATATCCCTCTTAAGTTTAATGACACTTTAGGCATGAATGCCCTTTGTATTTTACCCATTCCTGTTAATAGGCCATTCAGCTGAGCCCTAATCTCTCCCTGGACTGTGAAGATACTGCCCCACTCTGATCTTTCCAGCCACCGTCTACACAATATAATGACTGGATGACAGAAATGAAAGATCAGAATTTTATCTATCAAACTATCATCCCTAATAAGGAAACTCATAACGAGTGCGCGTGCAAGGAGTATCAGATAATTTATATCATCTAAAAATTGGTCAATACAGAAAGTACTGTACAGTGGTTTTTCATGCTGAATCCTGTCTTTCCTTACACCATCAGAAAGCACTGCCAATTGACAAAAGGGACTTAGCCTTCAAAGGAAATCTCTTCTAAGTAGAGAAAAGCTCTCTGTTAAGCAGGCAAGCGTTAAACATTGCTGAAATAGCGAGACATTCCCTCAGCCCACGCGTTCCCCGTTGCATCCAATTACCAACAGCCGTATCATCTATAATACAGACTAATACCATACTGTATTACTAAATCAGAGCTCCCCATTCACATTTGCCTCTAACCTGAGGGGATGAGAAGGGGATGACATTTACTAGTCATCAGCAGAATAAACAGCTAACTTGGAAATGCACAGAGCCCTGTGGCGTGGAATTCTCACCTACTGAGTTTCTTAAGTTTGATCTGGACCTACTGCATAGCTAGGCATCTGCATGAACCCAAGACATACAAATGCGCCCACCTCTACTTCCACCCTCCAAGCAGTGTGGAGGAGTAAAGGAGAGCCCAGGACTTTGCAGTCGGTGCCAGATAAGAAAAGTAATATTTATTAACCAGGTCGTATTCCAGTGAGACATTTTTCAATACATTTTTAAATGACTTGTTGGTGAATTTAATACCATTTGCTAACATATTTGGGGATTTTCAATAATTGGTCCCTGTCCCTTGAGCCTTGCAGGGATTGTTGCTCTAAAACGTTAACCTGACAGACAAAAAAACAAACAAACAAAAATAGCAAAACGTTCATACTGATGAAGCAAGATTTCCACGATTAACTCCACAAAAAACAAATCTCTCAACTTCCCCGATAGAATCACATAGGCAACCATCAACAGATGCTCTTGCAACAATAACGTAAAGAACAATTACTAAAATATTATTGCAATCATTGCTAAAGTCCTGTTTCAAATTATAAACATTAGCATAACTTATTTTACATTTTTAGAGACTAGCCTGCATTTCTCTCTCACTTATAATCATCTTTAGCAATATTCTTTTCTTACCTTAAGTCAAAAAAAGTCCCCCAGAAAGATTCCTAAACGACGTGGATATATGGATCACAGTTTTAAAAAGAAAACCTCTAAATAGCTCGTCTAAGGTCAGTAAAAATCGAAATAGTTTGATGCAGAACTACAAAAATCTCAGAAGTCACGCCCTTACAGGCGCGGAGGACCCTGTCAGGGCGCCAGGCCTGGAAGAGCAGCAGGGCGCGCAGGGCGGAGGGCGTCGCCGCAGGTGCCCAGCGTCGCGTCCAGCCCGGCTCCGACTGCCGCCGCACCCGCCGCTCTAGCGCCGCGCAGCCACTGAACCCAGCAGGCTCGCGCTCCTCCCGGCCGCGGCTGCCACTCAGCCGGGCGCCCCGCCTGTTGCCTGACGTAGCTCGGATCGGCATCCACGAGGCGGGGCGGCCCTGGCTGCTCCGCGATGGTGGGACGCGCGCAGGCGTCCTGGAGGGGGCGCCGGTGTCAGGGATCGCGCTCGCCAGAGTGAGTGCTGCGTGGGCGAGAGGGTGGAGAGGCAAGACGCGGACCTCGTCCCCTGCCCTGGTCCTCCTGGGCAGACTTTGCTCCTTCTGCCTTTGAGTACTGGAAAGCACTGTTTGGAGTCCTGCCCCTTCCTAGTCCTCCAGCTGCTGGAGGGGTCGCTGCCCCTGAAACTTGCATGGAGAAACGTGAAAGCTGGAAATGTTTATCATACACAAACCAAATCTTCTAAGAAATCGAATGAGTGCTATCGAGCACAGGTACAACTGCAAGTGCATCTATGAGACACGCAGCGCCTTCCCTGTTTATTGTCATAATTTAAATATATTGTCCAATGTAATGGAATTGGAGATTCTAGAGTTTTAAAAACTCATTTCATAATGAGAAAAAAAAAATGGACGTTCCCAGCTTTCAACTTCCACGGCCAAAATACTGAAGTCATGCAATATTTAATATGCTTAATATATTAATTGTTCTATGAAAAATAGATATACTGGAAGCGTTTCATAGCCTTTAGCGTTTCTTTAGTTTATGTGATGTTTCGTGTCCCAGTGAAGCTCTAAGATCTTTGACAGCAGGATGAAAAAAGGTCTGCCAGGTCAGATTGCTCAGACTGCTTAAAGCTATAAACAAGATTTTCAGCTAGCAAAGGCACAGAGCAGCTGAAGGGGTCTTAAACACAGACCACCAGAGCCCCCTGCAGCTCACTTAGGCTCCTTGCACCGAGAAGGGGCCTCATATGCAGACCAACACTGCCCTCTGCAGTTGATGTGACTCACTTGCAGCATGAAATGGGCATATTAAAAACTGAGCTTAATTTTTCCTAAATTGAATAAAGTATTTTTCATTAAAATTTGTTTATTCAGAATATTTCATAGCAATTAACACATTGCTTTCACTCAGAATGCACACATACTGATATCTGTCTTTCCTGATACAAGAGTCTGTCATCACCTTACACTGGTCAGATCCCAAGTGTTCTGATAAAGGAAACAAATCTGGCTATTTCCCATAGGGGAAAATGATTATCAGTTCCATCTGATGCAGTATTAAAAAGGACACATAATCCCAAATTTCTTCTTTATAGTTATGGAACAAGACAAAATGTGAGAAAAAACGCGATTTGTTTTTGATGTAAGGGTCTCTCTCTCTCTCTCTCTCTCTCTCTCCCTCCCTCCCTCCCTCCCTCCCTCTTCCTCCCTCCCTCTCTCTCTCTCCCTCCCTCCCTCCCTCTCTCTCCCTCCCTCTTTCCCTCCCCCCTTCCTTCCTCCCTCTCTCTCTCTCTTCTCTCTCTCTCTCTCTCTCTCTCTCTCTCTCTCTCTCTCTCTCTCTCTCTCTCCCCCCTCCCATATCCAGAACTTTTGCTCCGAAGAGCACATCCACCCACTTTTATATTTAGTGGGGTTTTGTTGTTTTGTTGTTTTGTTTTTAGACAAGATCCAGATCCCCCACAGTCACTAAACTGCCCACCTTGGAACCAAATATGTGATCCTCCTGCTTTGGTCTTCCAAAGCTCTATGATAACAAGCATGCAACACCATGCCCACCGTGCTCATTTTTTTTCTGCTTTAGAGTCTCATAATTCTCTCTTTGTGATTCTATTATGAAATTTGTCAATTTTCCTCCAAAGACTTAGGTCATAATTCTCACATTCTGAGTAATCTGTCATGCTTTATTTTCTCTGACAGCTATTGACTGTGTTGCTGCGTAATCGACACATGTCATGCTCATTTGAACACATATACACACAAATTGAGGACTTTGCTTTCCAAAGTAATTTTAATAAGAATTTTGGACACTGTCGTCGAGTAATAAAACCAAATTAACCCTAGAGTTGTATTTATATATTACCCTAACAACACCATTTACACAATTACAAATAATTAATTAAATGAATGAGATGTATTCCTGGCCTCTGTAATTTTTTAAATCAATTCTCTTGAACTTTCTTTTTCTCTCTTCTATTCCTTTAATAATATTTGGGAAAGTAATTTGGAATTTGGTAATCTTAATAATTTGGTATCTGAAAATACGGTGCCATTTCACAACTGTAGTTGAACTACAGAAGTAGAGCGTAAGAGTTTTCTTATTTTAAAATATACAATTTTCATCCTTCTAGTTCTTATGTTGAGCTCTTAGGGCATCTATTGGCCAATATTAGTATTGCACTTAAGAATTCAAGTTAAAGTTATGTACCATATTTCCAAACAATAATTTAAATATATGTCTCTGAAAAACTTCACAACGGAAATCTCTCATATCTATTATTAAAATATTAAGTAAATATATGCATACAAAAATGATTCTAATCCAATGTTGGCCATGTTAATACTTTCAGAATGTGTTAATTGTCTTTTGGAATTTATGTCAATATTCAATCAACTTAACATTTTATTCAAACTGTTAAACTTATTATCTTGTTATTTTTTCATCTTAAAATAGGAAAAATTGCTTTCATATTTCAAGAGAAGAACATAGATAGTAGCATAATTTGTATTATCTTTCATAGCAGAATGTAGCACAAGGACATTGATAAAATGATTCTAATCTTTCAGTTCATAAAGATTATACTGTGTAGGGAAATAAATGAAATATTAATTATGGAATTAATCTGCTTGGTTTTATTAGTGTATGTTTGTGATATATAATAACTATATCAGTCATCATGAAACCCTTATATGTCATATTTAAATCCTTTTAATTCCCACTCCCCTCTTCCCCCAGATCTCCTTTCACACTTGCAAGGCCTGCACTATACACTCAGCTAAATCCCTGGCCCCTCTCGGGTTAATTTAATAATAGAAATAGTTCAGGTTGAGTTGCTGAATATTTTTTAATTAGCTGATAGATAGCTTTTCCAATTTTACTATAATTTCAAATATATTTATTGTTTTGGTTTTACATATAAGAGAAACCTTGTGATATTTGACCTGTGTTTGATTTATTTCACTTAATATTATGGTCTCAAGGTGCATTCATTTTTCTACAAATGACTCAAATTTATCCTTGTTTATAACTGAGTACAATGTGTATGTATATCATATTTTCTTTATCATTTGTTGATGAATGCATAGCCCTTTTTCAAAATGCAGCTATTATGAATTGTGCTACCAGTAACATAGTTACCCCTGTAACACTATAAATGATAGTTTTAATTCTTTGGGGGAAAAAGCCAAAAGGAAAATAGCTGAATTGAATAGACTTCTACTATGTTTTTAATTTCTAGTTTTTTGAAGAATTTCCATATTAATTGTACTCATATACATTCTCATCAACAGTGTAGCAGGGTTTTTTTCCCCACAAATTTGTTAGCATTTGTTGTTTTCTAGTTCCTGATGAGAGCCACTCTTTATGGAATACATGCAACTTCGATGTTGTTTTAATTTGAATTTCTTTTGTAATCAAAAATTCTTAACATTTTTGGCATTTGTACTTCCTCTGAGATGTGTCTATTCATTTCAATTGTCCATTCTGTTACTGAGTCTTTCATTTGTAATCTGTTTTTTTAGACAGATAAAAAGGTCGTTTTCTCCAAAATGTGATAGCATACTTTCTCAAAACTAAAACCAAGCTGTAATATAAGCCTTAACATGGTTTTCCAGGAGACTTGAAATATAAACTTTACCCCAAAATAATCCCCTTTTAGACAAAACCATACCGTCCTGTGAACCAGGGGCAGCCACCATGGTGAAAAGGAAGAGAATCAATAAGCCAAACCACACCTTCCCATGGGACATGTGGGCTGGGAGACAAGAAGAGCAACTGCCCTACCCCTGCCCCATCAGCAAAGGGCTGATTCAGAAGAAGTCAGGCTGAGATAACAATGCTTGTATTATTTGATTGACTTTGCAGGCTTAAAGCTGGTAGTCTGAACATCTATTTGGAGGTTAAAAATATGCATTATAGCAACTGTGGGGGATTTCCTTGCATCTTGTTTTTGAAGTCCACTCTTTTGTTCTGTTTTATTGTTTTGTTTTATTTCTGTGTCTGGTAACCTGAGCAACTATTTTGAAGATAACAATATGCAATACAACAACCATCGTTAAATTTCTATCATCTTATTTTGAATCCTATATAGCTATTGTTATTCTTCACTGTTGTGATTGTCATTTTGCTTTTATTGTTTCTGTTTTTTTGTTTGCTTCTTGATTTTTCTGTTATTTCTTTTTTCTCTTTAAAACTAAAAAAATATGCGCCAGTTTGTCATCAGCCAGATGCACACATTTAGTGTGTCTGTGATATCAAACAACAAACATGTTGAGTTATAAAATAATATTGATATGTAATTAAATAAAAGTAAATAATATAATTGACATTAACACTTCAAATAAATGACAGTATATATTGCACTTAAGTATTTATAAATATCCAACTAGGTGCCTTTGAACCAGAGGTAAATGCCTATGCAAATAGATGAACTTGAGATATATGGCTGAAAGACCAGAGTACAGACCAACACACAAAGAGCAGGAGCATTTGAGAAAGAACAGATACAGTTGTGTCTAACAAAAATCTTCATATTTCAATATACTGTTTCATAACAGACATACTGAATGCACTTGTGTGAAATATAGAAACATTTTCTGATTTTTTTTTTATTTAAGGAGAAAAAGAAACAGGAAAAGGATACAATTACTACAAAATTTAACAAATAAACAGTAAAAAATCACTAGTTAATAGATTACATATTCTCATCTTAGAAATAGTTGTTCATTACAAAATTAAAGCATATAAAGTGGACTTTCAAACAGTGAGAGTGCAAACAGTTTTGTTCAATGATCCAAAAAAACTCAGTAATATGGTTTTCTATCTTATACACTTAAACATATATGCAGTTATAACATTTAGAGCACTTTCTTTTCTTTTC